AGACAGCACGTGAGCCTCCTGCCCCGGCTAGTGCAGTGCATGCGGCGGACGGGTCCAGCTCAGTTTGACCGAGTTGATCTCGCTGTAACGCAGACGAAAGGACGGCGTCCGTGGGCCGGTCACCACCCCTCGGCCTCGGAGGCAGCCCCCGCACGCCCCAGCACGCCCAGCACGCCCAGCAGGGACCAATGGGACGCGGCGTGGCGCGCACAATTCGCGGAGATGAATTCGATTGCGTTAATCCAGCGCGGCCAGCATTAGTGACCGCCCAATCCAGAGCGGAGCCGACTCGCTCTGTCTCTCTCGCACCCCAGCGGAGTGCGCCGAGCGTGCGAGAGAGACAGAGCGTGCCCCCTAATAACCCCGGCCGGCGGCACTCGTTTGAATTAATCAACGTGCAGAGAGGGGGTTGCTCCCTAAGTAGATTCTTCTCTTGCAAATGCCCTGCCCGGTGTCTTCCACTGTACCAATTAACAGTAACAGTGTCGCCGCGCCCTCTACACCTTGATGCATCGCCGCTGGGAGAATTGGCGCGAGAAAATAAAAGTGCGAATGCGTTCTACAGTGCGGCAGGCGGGCGGCGGCGCCCACCTCTCCGGCCTTTGGCGCGACCGTGGCGTCGGATGGGCTGCCTACCTGTCGGGAGCGCAGCGCGCACCGCGGCACAGTGGGCCAGAAGACCGGTGGAGGCGGCCATAACTCTAGACGCGTTTTGAGCTCCAGAGTCGCTAAATGGGACTCGAACCGAACGTGTGACCCCACCAATGGATTGCTCTCCGAACGAGGAATCCATTGCTGGGGTCACACGTTCGGTTGGAGTCCTGTTTAGCGACACTGGAGCTCAAAACGCGTCGAGAGTTTTTGCCGCCTCCGCCGGTCTCCTAGCCCACTGTGCCCGGCTAGCTGCAGACTGTTTTCATCGCTCTGTCTCTGTTGCACTCATCGGGCAGCCCGTGGGTGTGCGAGAGAGAGGGCGCGCCTCCGGCCGTGGAACAAGAAACAACGCCTGTCTCGCTGGCCAATCAGCCAATCGGCTCGTCGGGTCGAAAAAAAAATTGCAGTGGCGGCGTTAGATCGACAGAATGAACTGAGTGAGTGGTTTTTGCCGCGTCGTTTTTCACAGTGCGGTATTGGAAGTGCGTGGCCGTCGGCAAAAAAAAAGTTAATTTCGGAATGATGGGACTTCTTCGACCGCCTCCGCAGCCGCAAACGTGTCCCGGAAAAGCAGACGTAACTTAGTTCGAGGGCAGAAAGCAAGCCCATGGGACGCCTTTGTTTTCTGGAGCATGGGTTGCTGGTGATAATCCAATCGTGCGGTGGAGTTTACAGAGCAGTGGCGGCGACCTGTGGCTAGTTCACGGGACGCACCCACGCATGTGCGTGTCTGGGCCTCGCTATTTTCGGGCTGCCCTATCTTTGCCTCTGGAACGCAAACGCCGTGCCGTGCCGGTCCGAGGCACGCCGCGCAGGCCGGACAGGTCGTGGCAAACTAGCTTACACGGTGTGCCTGTATCCGTCGAGATCAAAGCACCACGTTGTATTTTCTTCATTAAAAAAAGTGTTGCGAGGCCTAGGTTTGCGAGCTTCCTTCACAGGGAGGCTGGGGGTACACTGCCAAAGGTCGATCGACCAAAAGCACTGTCCCAAGAAACCGAAATGCTCCGCGTCGAGTAATTAGAGCGAGTCGGCGACAACTGGAAGAACAACCTCCATTCCCGTTACTTTCATCATTTCTGCGGGTGTACGTGGGGAGGGCCTTCTACGAGGCTGACGGAGCGAGGAGGCCGAACCCGAACAGGGCGTGCGTCGCTCTGTCTCTCTCGCACTCGCGGAGCGTCCCGAGAGAGACAGGCGCTTTACTCGGAACCTCGCGGGCGGGCGCGGGCAGGAAGACTCATTCAAGCACGATTCAATTAGGGCAGCAAACTCAAAGTCCGAGCCTCGGTCGTGCCTGACCGAGCCTCACAGAGCAGGGCGAGCAGGGCGAGCAGGGAGTCAAAACATGCTCCTCGGCGCGCACTCCGCGCGGCACACTGGCGCCGTCAGGCACTGTTAATGTACCACGCACTCCGGACGGGCCGTCCGAACGGGCCGAGTGAAGGGTGAAGGCTGAGGGACGGCTTGCTTGGCCTTTCGCACTTAATTACTCATCCGTGGGGAAGTCCCTGGAGGGCCCACTGGAAGGCCGCCCAAAGGCCCCGAAGGGAAGATGTGACAAGGGCCGTCAGACACGAGTAGCAGGCAGCAGCCCCTTTGCCCGACGTCGAGAACCCTCGAGGTACCCCTGGAGCCCCACGTCAGGTTGCTGGCGCGTCTGACGACGGCACTTTGACCGGAGAGTTATCGGCGGGCAAGAAAAATTAGTTTCATTTGTGTTTTCCCCGAGTGTTTTTTTGGCAGCCGGTGGGTGACCTCGACCTACCCCCACCGCAGTGCTCTGCCACGGGCCGGGCCAGGCAGGGCCAGGCCCTGGTGTGCAATAATGAGCGTTAGAAGTGAGCGGTCCCGGCCTAGCACCGCTACACCGCTAGCACCGCCCCGAGGCCCTATATCACCTCGCCGGCCTCGGACGAGTAGCTGTGCGGCCAGCCGTGCCGGCCGAGGCCCTGGCCGAGGCCCACACATCGCGACGACCCCATAAAGGGGCAGCTCAAGGAGGGGCGGCCGGCAGTGTAGGCGGTACAACTTGGAGATAAATGGACCGCGAGGAAATTAACGGTGCCGGAGCAATCCCGGGCATAAGGCAGGCGGGGCACGCGCGGCGCTACCCCCCGCGTCCGAGCGACCCTTGAGGCCCATGAGGCGCGTCTCTCCGGCGGGGGGTATCGACAAACCGGCGACGCGATTATGCGACGCGCACGTCGTATTTTGGGCCGGGATTAACAGTCTGGCTGCGATCGGCGACTCTTGTTCGGACGGGGCCGGACCGCGGGCTGGACAGTGAGCCGGACAGTGAGCCGGACAGTGAGCCGGGCAGTGAGCCGGGCAGTGAGCCGGCAGTGAGCCGGGCAGTGAGCCGGGCAGTGAGCCGGACAGTGAGCCGGAGAGCCGTACAGTGAGCCAGACGACCAGAGTTCCCCGTCCATGTTGAAAGTTTGCTTTGTGGGTCAGAGGTGAGTGTTGTGGGTGGACGGGCTGGACGGGCTGCAGGCACACTGATTCCGAGGGTCTCTCTCCCACACTCGTGGGGCGCCCCGTGCAGGTGGGAGAGAGACCCTCTCTCTGCTGGACGGGGTGGGCGTACAGGTGCCGCTCCCGGCGGCCACAATGCGAAACTGGCGGCTGGGCGGCGCGGCGCGGCCTGGCGTGGTGGACGACGGCATGAATATTCATTCGGTGGGGAAGTAGTCAATTTGTGGGGGAAAACCCAAAGAGGACAGCGAAAAAAGCCGGGCCACCGCACAGTGATCGGGAATGCCTGCGACGCGTCCCCGCAAGGAACTTTGAACGAGGCGGTAGAATCATTATTACTCGACACGTTAAATAAGGATTTTGTCCCTGGGCCCTGGTCCCGGGTCCAAGGGGTGTGAATCAATTACACCCTCTGTCCTGCACCGGCAAGTAACCGCTTTCCTCTTCGTTGAGTGTGAAGCCCCGTGAACTCCCGTGCACTGTAAGCGCGTTGCCCAGGAAGCCCGGGCCGTCCAACATTAAAGCGACAAAAGACGTTGAAGCAGGAAAGCGACAGCGGGACTGGCAGGCTCTGGCATACTGACTCTGAATTCCGGCATCTCTGTGACCGGATTGGACCGCTGTCTTGGTAGCTCTAGCTACTCCACTGAGGGGCCGGAGGCGGTGGGAGCGTCGCAGGGTCCGCGCCCGCAAGCAAGGGTTGCCCCTGCCGCCGGGGCGGGGGTACTGCTCCGGGCCGAGTCCGGGGCTGGGGCCGGGGCCGGTGCAGGGGACAGGTCTCGGCCACTTATTCATGACAGAGACGTAATCAGTTTAGGTTTGCCGTTCCGACCGTGGTCGCGGAGTGGCGCGTCGAAGCCCCTCCCCCAATACTGTCGCATCGGGCGGGCCGGGGCGGGCCGGGGCGCGCGCACCGCAGCCAAGGCCACAGCTTCATGGTCTCCCTGTCCACGATGGGGCTCCGCCAGTTCCGGAACTCCGGGTGCGCGGCGACCGGGCGGTGCCGGTTCGTCCGGCGGGAAGAGGGTCCTGGAGTCCTGGAGTCCTGGAGCAGGCCCTGGAGGCGCCGAGACCAAGCCGAGGCCTCGGCCGGCAAGTGGAACGTGCTATGTTTGACAGCCGTCCGACGGGCGAGGCCGCCGAGGCCGGGGAGGCCGCCGAGGCCCTTCGGGAATCGACGTCCTCGAATGTTGTGCAAACACGGCCATTTCTCCCATTCGGCACCGGGCATTCGCGGCATTCGCCATGGGCGCCACATTCTCTCCAAATTCAAAGCAATCACGACAACCCGGCGTTGCCCACGGACAGTGTCAAAAGCAGGCGGCTCCCATGGCGGAATGCGGGGAACCAGACTCAGCTCCGTTCTGTCCGTCTGTCTCTCTCTCTCTCTTTCGCGTCGAAGGCTCGTCCGTCCAAAGGAAAAGATCAGCTGCGGACACTTATGTGGTTTGGTTTGGCCGGTCGGCTGGCTGGGTGGGGGCACGCTGCGTGGGTGAGGGTGTTTCCCAGTGGGTGTGGCCGTCAGTGTGTGTGTGTGTGTGTGCGTGTGAAAAGGGAGCAGGATTTGGATGGGATTCTGAGCGTCGAACCGGCCTGGTCCGCAACAGGGTGGAAAACCCTCTTACTCAAATCGGCAGCCGGCCCGGCCCGGTCCCGTCGCCGCAGAAAGGCGCAGAAGGGCGGCAGAGGGGCGCAGGGAAGTGCAGAGGGCTCCAGGGCGTCGCCAGCCAGGGCGTCGGCGAGACCATTGTGCCGGACGCTATCTGTGCCCATTTCGGCGGCCCACTGGGAAGAAAGGAGACAATCGGCGGGACAATGGCTCTGTTGGTCTGTCGGCCAGGAATCATTGAATGATTGCGATGTTGGTCTTGTTTCGGGTTTGTTCCTTTATTCGAATTTGGCAGTGTGCTGGCTGGCTGCTCGTCCGGGTGGCCTCACCGTCGCACCGGGCCACCCGGGCCACCCGGCCCCGGCAGCGGCAGCGGCCCCTGGAACGGGGGGCCCCCAGCGAGCGGCCCCACGGGGGGCACGGGCGGCACGGGCCCCACGGGGAAGCCGGCCTCGTTGTAGAGGCCCGGCGGCTCGGACTTGGCCAGGGCCACCTGGTAGGCCACGGCGCGCTGGATGGACGGGTGCACCACGTTGCCGGTGGGCTGGTAGCCGTAGTCGTCCGCGATGTACGCCACCTGCACGGGGCCCTCGGGGCTCTGGTACTGGTAGGAGCCCTGCACGGCCAGCGACTGCCCCGGCGTGCCCGGGTTGGTCACGGTGCCCGTCGCCTCCTGCGCGCTGCCGTCCGCCGACTGGTAGCTGCGGAACGAAACAAAATTGAACATTCCAGGCGAATCAAAGTTTTGAACAAAACTGAAGGCGACAGAACTGGGCCGCGTCTCCCTCCCAGTCCTTCCTCTGCGTGCTCAGCCCAGCACACTGCTCCGCATACGTCCGGACGATCCGCCTTTGCCGCAGCGAGTGGTAGTGGCGCGCGGCCGCTCGGACTGGAGCACTACACTGGAGTGTGTCGAGTCAAAGGGACCCCCGAGGCGCGCGGCAAGGCGCGGCAAGGCGCGGCACGCTGTAAGCAGAGGCACCAGACGGACAGTTGCCCGCACTGCTCCTTGCTGCTTGCGGCCACAGCAAGACAGACGAACGCCTTGCTAATTTATGGGACTTGCGCCCCAGTTCGTTGTTGCGAACCCCCAAGAGGAAATCAGCGCGTTCTGGGAACGCGTCGAGGCCGACGACGTCCACGGCGTCGACCCCACCTGCGGCCGGGAGGCCAAGGCAGGCCAAGGCTGGCCAAGGTGTCGAGTTTACCGATAGCTCCGATTTGAGACGTCGCCCTGACCGCACGACAAGGGGTGAACTTTGGAAGGGGCCACGCCACACTGGAAGGGGGAGGCCGGGGGCGGAGGTAGGGCGGGGGTTGAAGAGATCCCCGCCGAAGCCTCGAGTCGCCTTGAGGCGACCACGACAGATTTACGGGATGGGGTCGGGGTCGAGGGGTGGGGCGCGCGGGCGGGTGTGTGAAATTGAGAGAGAGCGTGCCGGCGCGCGGGGACCCTCCCCTCCTCCTCCCTCTCCACCGAGTGCAAGGAGCCATTTGTATGACTCGGTAAACAGCCGATCAACGACCGAAGTCATCCGTTCTCATCTGTTTCCACACCTAATTTGGTGCCGCCCCCCTCGCCCCTTTCGCCCCGTATTTATCCGAAGGACGCCCCGCATTCAATCGCCTGCAGGTGGAATTCCCCCCGCAGGGCCGCGCGAGGGAAGGCTGCGGAACGCGGGGTATGCCAAGAGCAACCAGTTGATTGCCGTAGGGTGGGGCCGCGGGGCGGAGCGCGAGGTTCGCCCAAGCAAATCGCCCCAATTGATTCTGGCTGCTGCCTTAGTTAGACCGAGTCCGGGGGGCGGGTCCACTGCCTCGGAGTTGCGGACCGACTCAACTCGCAGTAGTGCCGTCCCAACAAGACTGTCCGGCGCAGCGGTCTGAGGGAGAGACGCGACGTCTGACATGAGGTGGGCGTGCGCCAGGCGGTACGGCGTCTCCTCCGACACCGAGCCCAGCATCCGATCCTACGCGCGGCCAACCCCGCGGGGAAATTCCTCCTGCACGGGGCACACAAAGGGGAACGGACAGGTACCAGGTGAGCCGACGCCGCCGTGGACGCCGCGGCGGCAGGCGGTAGGCTGCAGGATCGCCCACACCGCAAAAAAAAATTAAAAAACAACAACATTGACGCTTAAACGCATTGGGCCCATCGCTGTGGACTAATCCGGCGTCCCAGTCGGCACCGTGACCCGCACGGGGAAAAGAGTAAAAGTCGCTGAGAGGTCGGCCGGCCCGGTCGTGCCGCCGCACATCAGATTGCAGTGCCGTGCCGTGCCGTGCCGCGCCTCTTTTTCCCGCGGTCATTTTCGGCCGTCACGCGAAGCGCCAAGCGCCAAGCGAGCGAAGTGAGGAGCAGCGACAGCCGTTGCAGCCGTTGCAACACGGATCCTCAAACAATCATCTTTTCTAAAGCGGGCCGGGGCACGAACTACGAACTGCGAACGGGGCCGACGGGGCGGGGCGGGGTGGGGTGGGGCGCGCACCGGCCGCCAGGTGGCGCTAGTAGTGCTGCCGTGATGGGCCTCTCTGGCGCGGCCTGATAAATGGAAATGGTTCTGCCGGACTTCTAAATTAGTCGCTGATTAAAGGGCATGTTGCCGCCCCGAGCCATAAACCATTCATCAAATGGTAACCGCGCTTAAAACACGTCCCCGCGGCACCGGGGCGCTTCCCGCCCAAAATAATCGTCCGGAAAAAGCATAATGGTAATTAACATACAACACTTTGGCCGCTTTTTTTTTTCGTGTTGCTGTCTCTTCCTCGTCTGAAAAACCGCCGCGGGGAGCGGGCCGCGGCACGAGGCGTCTCTTTATGGCCGGGTTTTGTGCCTCGCGAGATAGGGTGCCCGTCAGCCCTCCCCGTCAGCCCTGGCCGCGGACGTACGCGATACAGTGCTGTATTTGGAAACGCCCCGGAGCGCTATTTTTCACACGGCCACTCTGCTTTATTTTCCGACCGGCGCGGAAAAGAAATACGCACCAAATTATTTATCTTTTTTTTTATCCGCTCCTGATGGGGGTTGATCCCGCGGCGGGGCTCTCGATTCACGTCAAGCAGCCCCACCGCGACGCGCCGCGATGTGTGGCCGCGCGGGGCGCGCGGACGCGGGGCCGCCGTTTGTCCGCATCATTTTGGCTGGCCGGCCTCGCCAGCCTCGCTCGCCCGCGGCGGCCCGCGGCAGCCCGGGGCCTTTCAGGACGAGTCGACCGACCCTTTTCATGTTGACCTGCGCGTAATCTGTTCATTCGCTGCGGCGGCGGTGGCGGCGTACGCTGGGACGGAGGGGAGGGGGAGGGGGAGGGTGGACCCGCACCGGGATTAAGGATGCTCCGCACAGACTGCTTCGAAACCGGACTCCTCCTCGACGGCGCGGCTGGCGCGCGGACTGGGGCACTGATTCAGGTGATGAGTGCCGTGATCTGAAGGCGATCTGAATGCGAATGACGCCGATGACGTCATGCCAACTAGGCGGCCTCACTGTCAAAGCGAGTGACATTCTCAAGCCCGGGCGACACTTGGTCGACACTTTCGCTGACACTGGGCACTCCTCCTCCGAGTGATCGCCCTGCACTTTGGCCGCTCTGCGATGGAAACAGCGCGCAGGGACGTGGAATGAGGGGCCGGGGACTCGAAGCGTCGCTAGCGAGGGGGCGATGGTGAGGGCAGCACGGCTACACTGTTGCAGTGTGGCAGACTCTGCAGGGCTCAACGCGGTTCGCCGGGCGTCATGAGATTTTCTCGTCTTCCGGCGCATGACGAATGGCTGTGCGTCCCCACCCCCGCCCCGCCCCCGCCATGAGCGCTCTATGCGAGTAGGGTCCAAGACGGGCGTCCAATCAGGGCGGCGGTGCTAGGCCGAGGCGAGCCGGCAACCATCGTAGTATGGGACGGTCATGGTTACGGGCCGCCACCACGGTTCATAGTCAGTAGTATGGGGCGCCCATGGTCACGGGCCGCCACCAGGGGCCTCCCACACTACTGACTATGATCCGTATCAACCGGATAGCGTCATCCATCTGCGTTCAAGAGTGACGAATAGATGGACCCAGCGATTCCGCAGAGTCGTCGCGTCTCTCTCGCGCCCTCGAAGGGTACCCTTGCGTGCGACGGGGACGCCCTCGGAGCGACACGGCGTGAGGCCTGTCTGTCTTGTCGTGCTGCTGCAGACGCGCCCTGAGGCCTCGGGGGTGTGCCAGGCCGCCATCGGAAACCTATAATTGTTTCGCGTCGTCACGTGGTCGTCATGTGGTCGTCACCCGGGTCGCCATGGCAACCAAGGGCTCCGGCAGGGCCAGGGCCAAGGCCGCCTCGCACCGTCAAACAAAAGCACGCCAAAATTAATACTCCGCCTCCAGATTCAATCAGCGTGACTAGAGCGCTTGAATGCCAGCAACATTTTCCGCGGCGTCTCACGTCGCCCCGCCCCTCTCCTCCACCGCCCCCTCCAGCGTCCCCGGTCCCCGCCGATGCGCGGCGAGCGGCGGCGAGGCACCACGAACTACGCAGTGCGACTGGAAATGTGATTATTGTCTGGCTACCATGGTGACACAGCAATTTCGCTGCAAACACACACAGTGCCAGGCTGCTGCGCTGCCGCCGCGCCGATACAAATGAATGCGGTTATCAGTAGATTCAGGGTGCAGGCGCTACGCCGCGCGACGCTGCCTGGTGGCACGGCCGCCTCCGCCACGGTCGCCCTGTCCTTCTCGCACCCTTGCGGCGCTCCCCGAGAGTGCGAGGGAGACTTCCTGCACTCTGCCGCGCCTGGCAGTGTCGCAAATGGAGACCGCCTGGGGGGCAGGCCAGCCCGCAGCACGCGTGTGTGTGCGCGCCCCGGCCGCCTACCCTCTCCATGGCAGGCGCTTGGGCGGCGCTGGAGGCTCGAACGGTGCTTTCATCGCGCGGTCTCTGTCGCTCCAACGGAGCGTCCCGCGGGAGTGCGATAGAGACAGAGTGACAGTTCGGAATGAGAGCGCAGGTGAGGACTCTGTTAGCAGGTCGTGAAACGAAACCGAAGCGACGTGTCGGCTCGCGTGTCGGGCTGTCGGCGCCATCTTTTATTCACGGCCTGCCCCTCGCGGCATGCCCGCCAAGCGGTGGCGGGTCGCGCGCCGGTCGCGGGCCGCGACAGACAGAGAGAGAAAAGAAAGGGGCACGCACCTGAGTGGCGCGAAGATGAAAGATTGCAACTCACCTCCAGCGGTAGGAGCCGTCCGGGTTCTGATCGAAGGCCTGCTGAATGATGGGCACGAAGGGTCCGCGGGGCGGCAGGGGCCCGGGAGGCAGCGGGGGCAGCGGGGCCCCGGGCGGGCCGAGGGGGCCAGGGGGGCCGGGCAGGGGCCCTCCCGGGGGTCCGAACTGCGGCGCCGCGTGGGCGGGCGGGGCGGGCCAGGACGCCACCGCCACCGTCAGGAACAATGCCTGCGCGGAAGGGGTTTCAGCAAAAGGAGCGGAAAGAACAGGCGCCATAAGTTGGTCCTCGGAAGCCGATTGTCTTCTCCGTGAATGGAGCCCCACGAGTGTTTCAAACAAACCCGCGAGATCGTGCAAAAATCGGGATAATCCATCCCCTGCCTGCTGTTAAATCCATGTTTGTTGAACTAAACTGGAATACAGAAAAGATAACCACGAACTCACGTCTCCAACTTCAGATAAACTTTCAACCAACACTACTTTGTCTCGTGACGTCGTTCACCTCGAACCCAATTAAAGTAACACTTTCGTTTCCTCGATTAGTTAACTGGGCTGCGAACGAGGGCTGTGCTGCTAATCCACGTTATGCCGGTTCCCAACACCTCTTGTCCCAACAGCGGCGCGGCGCTCTAGCCGCCCGAGCCATTCCCAGCCGCAGTCCACGCACGCTTCCTATCCAATACGGAGCCTCCGCGGGTCTCTGCAGCTCTGCATTCGGATCGGCCATCAGGCAGCGCCAATTAAGAACACCATTCATTCCGAATGTGGGAAAAGTCTGGTCGCTCGCAAGGCTGTGCCTCGGCGGTGCCTCAAAACTACAAAACAATCGGACGGACTAATGAAGCGGCACGCAACGTGTGAGGCGTGCGTCCAGACAGACACACCAACACCAGTGCGCGCGGCTCACTTTGATGCATTGTTACCACAACTTTATTGTATACCGGTAAGTGCGGCCAAAATTTGTCTTTTTATTTCAGCCTGTCCGGGTTAAAAATACATGTAACTCTTTTATAACATTTGTTCGTCTTTGTGAGGATGAATCGATCGATGAAAGCCCAATATTTTATAATTTGCCAAAAAGATAACCGCAATGAGTGCTGTTCAAAATGATAATTTCAGTTTCTCTTTGATTTAAAAATACTGTCACTTCAGCCGATCGAGACAGAAGCAGGGACTCTCCTAGTCCCAGCGAAAGCTTCGAGCACCCAGACGGCGTCCTCACCCCGCTGCACACGCCACTGTCAAGCGACATGCCCTGGTTGTTCCCTTTATCGAGCAATTTCGTTTTTACGCGCACTACCGAATCCAATTCCTGGCTCACATTGTATCCACTTGCCGCACGCGCTCACACACACACACACACACACACACACACTCGCTCACGCGCACGCACACACAGACACACGCACACACACGCACGCCCGGTCGTAACAGCGCAAACGACGCACCAGGTGTCGCGACGCCATTGTCTTGAGAATCGCCGGCGTTGGACAGCAACTGTGACGCTGCAGACCGCGTTGCGCCGTTTTATATCGGCCAATAGTGAGGTGAGCGCCTAGGAGGGGCACGGCGCGGGGGCGGGGCGGGCGGGGCGGGGCGGGGCGGGGCGGGGCGGGGCGGGGGGGGCGGGCTGCACTAGGCGGGGGCGTTCTGGAGCTCTAGTAGGCTTGGCCCTGGGCTGGGGTAGGGCGCTGCCGGGCGGTGGATCCTCGTCCTCGAGGTCCGAGGCCTTGGGACAACACTTCTACTGCGGTAGCCGCCTTTACAGCGCAACGTTTACAAAACGATACTGCCCGCGTAACCCTTATCCTGACTGGAATTTTTTTTTCTCGTTATTTTTGCCTGCCTTTGCTCACTAACATCACGATGCCAACAATGATAATTGTCGCGTGTCACAATTTTTTTTTAAGTTTAATGTGCGTACTTTTTTGTATCAAAGTGGCTTGCCCGAACGAGGCCAGTGCAGTCGACGTTCCGCGGTGGAATTTCTCGCGTTCCAAATGTCTTGAACCTAGTCTGTCATAGCAAAGTGGTGCGCGAATCGAGCAAGGTGTTTCTTTTGTCGTGTTTTCAACGTCATTTTCCAGAGCATTCGGCGGTCCTGCGGCGCGCATGTGGAGGATTCCGCAGGCATTGAAGGGAGAAAGCCTCGAGCTCCGCACCACCGCCACCAACTCGGAGGACGTCGCCAGTGACGACTCGGCGAGCTCAAAGTGTGCGGGGCTGAGGGTGGCGGGCACGCTGCAAAAGTCCGCATCGCGCGTCGCGCCGCCACGCCTGTCTCCCGCGTAACGACATATTCATTCCATTGAAGGAAGGCCACCGAAGGCCACGCTCTGGGTTTCGGTCTTCATCGCCTGCGCCGCGCGCTACCGGTCTTTTTCTCTCTCTCTCTCTCTCTCTCTCTCTCTCTCTCTCTCTCTCTCTCTCTCTCTCTCTCTCTCTCTCTCTCTCTCTCTCTCTCTCTCTCCCGCATATTACCCCACCCCTCTCTCCTTATGCCCCTTTGCCGAGCACGCTGCGCTATCGCCTGGAAAAATGGCGGTCCTTTCGAGGTGGCCAAAACACCCACGTCTTTGCCATTTCGCGGGTGTTGCTGCCCTCTCTCTCTCTCTCTCTCTCTCTCTCTCTCTCTCTCTCTCTCTCTCTCTCTCTCTCTCTCTCTCTCTCCTCCCTCCCCCCCCCCCCCACCGCTCGCCCTCGATAAAAACGCAGTCGGCCGCCTCAAGTTCTGGGCGCATACATGATGCAGCGGTAAAGTACTCCTTTTTTCGCCGCGGTCTTTCAATCATAAATTTTTCCCAGAGTTTTCCTCTCTTTTTCTCGCGGCCGGGCGTTTCGCGCGCAGTGGCGCACGGCCGGAAGTTACGCGCTACACTAAGATCAGTCCCTGCGAGTCTCTTCCGGCGCGCCGAGCTTAGGTGCAACTTTAGCCCCGGACTCAAGGAGGAGGGGGGGGGGGGCTGGTCCAGAAAGTCGCCGAACAGCGAGAAGTTGAGCGCGTCTTGCCGCTACTAAGCGTGCGCCGTTTACCGCAGGCTGACCAGAAACACACACACACACACCGCAAAAGAAACGGCGTGAAACAATAAATACTTTACAGACACGCACACATGATCAACACACACACACACACACACACGATAAATAGCACGCGACCGCTGGACTCCAGCCGGCGGCACGCTGATTGCAGTTTGATGGGCCCAAAATGGCGTGGCCGCGCGCGTGCATTTCATCAAAGAGCCGAGAAGGAATGCAGTGTGGAAGCGCTGCTAAAGAAGAAAGAGGCGTGTTGTTGGTCAATGCCGTCAATGTTGCTCCACTACAAACACGAGCGGCACGGTGACCGTGCGTCGTGCCGCGGGCCGAAGACGGCCGAAGTCTGCCGAAGTCTGCCGAAGTCTGCCGAAGTCTGCCGAAGGGCGAGCTTTCGCCACGTGCAGGCAGCGGCAACGACGGCAACGCCACCGGGACCACTCCTCGAGTCTTCGGAATACGCCGCTCTGCTCTTCGTTTGACTTTTTCGCCTCACGCCGGCCGACCCGCCGCGCGGCCACTACACCGCGAAATGGCATGGCGAGCACTGCCAACCCGACTCGCGGCTCCTTTCTCAATGCAAATAACTTTTAATATTTAAACGCTGCGTGTCTATAATGAATCCGATTCAGGAATATCGGCTTAAAGATTCGATTGATGCACATGTCTCACAAGGCAGCAAAAGTGGGCCCGAATGGAATCATGGCAAGGTGCAATGGGAGAAGGGAGTGCTCACATCGACTGGCCCGTCACGGAAGACAGTTGAAACGGTCCCCTAAAAAAAGGGAGTTCACGCGCCGTGTAAGAGGCCGTGTCTTATTGGCTGAGCCGGAGAACGCACACACGCTGGATGAAAGAAATGGAGCCGTGGGAAAAGCGGCAGCTTAGTCGCTAGTGATTCACGCACCACGCGGATGGGAAGTCGGTGCAGTGAGGCAGGCGCGGCGGGCGGGATTACCTGTGGCACTTGCTGCTGTAGGCGCGCTAGCGCTCCGCCCACCACGGGCCAGTTTTGTCAACAGAACTCGTTCGCGAATCCACGCCACTCTAAAAGAGGGGACACTTTCTCAAGAATGGCGTCAAAGTCAAGGCAGCTTCGACCTTTTCAACTTTCCCAGAAATTCGCGTCGTGCCTATGAATAGTGATGACAGAGTGAGACTCCGCTGCTCCCTCTGAGGGGGAGGCTCGAGGGGCCGGCAAAGGTGCTCCATTCCCTGGAACCACTCGACACTCCTCGGCAGGGGCTCGCCTCTCTTCAACAGGGCGCGGGCGCCTCCGCCGGGCTCTGCGCACGTCCGGGTGAGTGCGACCGGCCCACAGTGGGCCGAGCGGTGGCGGTCAAAACTCTAGACGCGTTTTGAGCTCCAGAGTCGCTAAATGGGACTCGAACTGAACGTGTGACCCCACCAATGGATTGCTCTCCGCCAATATATTGGTGGGGTCACACGCTCCGTTCGAGTCCTCTTAGCAACTCTGGAGCTCCAACCGCCTCCACTGGTCTTCTGGCCCACTGTGGAGCGGTTGGACGTGCAGCCCTGCGGGCGCTGGTCCCCCAAACCTGTTGCAGTGAGGTGCACAGGGTGGGCCGGCCTTGTGCGGTTGATCGCGAGGTCTCCAAAACTGCCAATCGCTGTTATAATCACGTTCCGTCAATGTTTTCGTTGAAGGTGGGGCGCCGTGAACGCGGAGGGCGAGAAGGTGGGATAGTTTTCAGCGAGTTGGTGGGCTAGGCGCCCCGGAGTTCGCGGCAAGTCAAACCAAATGCGAAAAGCGAGGCGGATGCCTATCGGAAATTAATCACAGAAGCCGGGCCCGGCCTCGGGTGGGGTCCGGGCCGACACAAAACTACAGCGAGATGCTGCTAATTTTAACATACGACACGACCTACAAGTTTCTCATACTACGCTTGCATAAGTTTCGACAACAAGTGAAAGTTTTAATTGAATTACTTTTGGATTTGGCGGGCCGCAAGTGCTGGCGGTGGTTGTGTCTCAGCCATCCCTTCGGAGCCGCCCCGCCACGCCCACGCCGCCCCGTGCCGAGACCACAGCTGCTCGGCGGCTTCATCGAGGCCCTCGCCGTCAAGCGGCACGACGGGCCCGACAGGGCGGCGCGTGTAACTTAGCCATTTCAGCGGCCGTTTTGCGGAAACGCGTTGCAGCTGGAGAGGCTGCCTGCCTGCGCCTGCCTGCCTGCCTGCCTGCCCGGGCGCGGCGGGGCGGCAGTAACTCACTAGGGCCTTCGAAGGGCGCGCAAGGCCGCCGCGTGGACACACGCCGCCACGCGGCCAAGCGGCCACGGCGGGAAGCTTTCCCGCAAATTACAAAACGGCTGGGCGCGCGTCGGTCGTGCCCTGCTTGGCCTGCCACGGTGCGCCACGCTCTGCCGCTAGTGCTATTCACAAAAACGGCGACGACACAACGGCGCACGGCCGCCGATGAGCGCAACCCGCATTGTCTCCGGCCCCCTCGGCCCCGCCGGCCCTCCTCCGGCCACCCGTGAAAGTGCACCCATTCCTTTCAGCCAGGCGTCCCACCACCATCCATCCATCCATCCATCTCATTCATTCCGTCCACTCGTTCATTGCGTTCATTCGCCGCATCGACACAATTCTCGCGGCAATACATCATCGCGGCGTCATAGTCGTGGCGGAGCGGCGCAGCGTCGTGACGCGATGACGCCCACGCGACTGACCCTTCCCCCTCCCCCTCCTTCCCTGCCTCCCGCCAGCCTCCCGTCACGCGGAGCGCGCGCGGCGGAGTGGACGCCTGCCGGGTAGGCCACCCATCGGCCGCGACGCACGGCCGTCGCGCAGGGATGCCTACCCGCCGGATGACAGGCGCTTCGGGGAGCGCAGCAGTCCCACACACGCCGGCCGCG